AAAGCTGCAGAGTTATCTGATTGATGGTGCTTCCCCGGGGACATCTCGGTGTTATAAATCCCCCCCCAAGTCTTTCCCCCTTTAGTGAGGTTTCAGTCTTTGGGCCCCCTAGCCTATACCGTCTTGGGCTTTTGGCCCTTCCCCATCTTCATGACTTTGCATTGGCAGGATTAAAATTTGAAAGCCATTTGCGACCAGGGTCCGTCGTCCAGGCTTTTGAAGCCTGCCCGGGCCTCATCAGTTTAATTCTCCCCATTAACTTTCCCCATCTGCAAACGGGACACTTCTGAGTCTAACCCTTCCATCATGTCGTTCACATATACCAAAAATAGCACTGGTCCTAGGACCGACCCCTGTGGGACCCCGCTCGTCACAGGTGCCCACTGTGATACATCATTACGTACCATGACTCGTTGTTGCCTCCCTGTCAGGTATTCTGTGATCCATTGCAGTGCCCTTCCTGTTATAATGCTCCTGATGCTCTAGCTCTGCACTAATCTCTTGTGAGGAACTGTCAAAGGCCTTCTTGCAGTCCAAGAAGATGCAATCAACCCACCCCTCTCTCTCATGTCTTACTTCTGTTATTTTATCATAAAACTCCAGAAGGTTTGTGACACAGGATTTGCCTTCCGTGAATCCGTGCTGGTTGGCATTTATACTCCTGTTTCGTTCCAGGTGCTCCACCACTCTACTCCTGATAATCTTCTCCATAATTTTGCATACTATACACGTCAATGACACAGGTCTATAGGGCCTCTTTTCTGTCTCCCTTTTTAAAAATGGGAACTACATTTGCCGTCTTCCATACCTCAGGTAGTTGCCCAGTTTCCAGGGACGTGTTGAAGATTGTGGTAAGTGGCACGCACAACATATCTGCTCCCTCTCTAAGGACCCACGGGGAGATGTTGTCCGGTCCCATTGCCTTTGAGGTATCGATGTCCCTTAGCAGTTTCTTCACCTCCTCCTCATCTGTATGTACGTCGTCCAACACTTGTTGGTGTATTCCTTGCTGGTGTCCCCATCTGGTCTGTCCCCCCAGAGTCCTTCCTGTCTCTACTGTAAATACTTCCTTAAATCTCGTGTTGAGCTCCTCACATACCTCTTGTGTGTATGTGTGTGTGTGTGTATGTGTGTGTGTGTATGTGTGTGTGTATGTGTGTGTGTGTGTGTGTGTGTGTACTCACCTAATTGTACTCACCTAACTGTGGTTGCAGGGGTCGAGACTCAGCTCCTGGCCCCGCCTTTTCACTGATCGCTACTAGGTCCTCTCCCTCTCTGCTTCCTGAGCTTTGTCATACCTCTTCTTAAAACTATGTATGGTTCCTGCCTCCACTACTTCACTTGCTAGGCTATTCCACTTCCTGACGACTCTTTGACTGAAGAAATACTTCCTAACGTCCCTGTGACTCGTCTGAGTCTTCAGCTTCCAGTTGTGACCCCTTGTTTCTGTGTCCCCTCTTTGGAACATCCTATCTCTGTCCATCTTGTCTATTCCCCGCAGTATCTTGTATGTCGTTATCATGTCTCCCCTGACCCTTCTGTCCTCCAGTGTCCTCAGTCCGATTTCCCTCAACCTTTCTTCTTACGACATTCCCCTGAGCTCTGGGACTAGCCTTGTTGCAAACCTTTGTACTTTCTCTAACTTCTTGACGTGCTTGATCAGGTGTGGGTTCCATGTGTGTGTGTACTCACCTAATTCACCTAATTGTGGTTGCAGGGGTCGAAACTCAGCTCCTGGCCCCGCCTCTTCACTGATCGCTACTGGATCCTCTCTCTCTCTGCTTCCTGAGCTTTGTCATACCTCTTCTTAAAACTATGTATGGTTCCTGCCTCCACTACTTCACTTGCTAGGCACCCACTTGCTACAACTCATGACTGAAAAAATACTTCCTAACGCCCCTGTACTCGTCTGAGTCTTCAGCTTCCAGTTGTGCCCCCTTGTCCCTTTTCCCCCTCTGGAACATCCAACCTGTCCACCTTGTCTTTTCCCCGCAGTACTTGTATGCCCGTTATCATGTCTCCCCACCCTTCTGTCCTAAATTTTCGTCAGTCCGATTTCCCCTTAACCTTTCCTCGTACGACATTCCCCTGAGCTCTGGGACACCCCTTTTGCAAACCTTGTACTTTCTCTAATTTCTTGACGTGTTTGACCGGGTTTGGGGTTCCAGACTGGTGCTGCATACTCCATATGGGCTAACATACACAGGTACAGTGTCTTGAACGTTTCCCTTTTTAAGGTATGGGAACGCATTCTCAGGTTTGCCAGCCCCGAGCGCAGCGTTATTTGGTTATGTGTGCCTCCGGTATGTGCTGGGTTTAGGGTCCCCCCAAGGGTTTTCTCCCGAGGAGGTCCTGTATCTTTGCCACCTACCATACTCTGCTGCGGTCTTCTTTGCCCCCCCCAATTTTCATATTTTGCATTTGGCTGGTTTAAATTTCGAAAAGCCAGTTACTGACCACATTCCACCCTCCAGGTCTTTTTGCAGTCCTGCCCACCTCGCCGATTAATTTTTCTCATCAACTTCACTCATCTGAACAGGGACACTTCAGAGTCTATTCCTTCCATCAGCGTTCACATATATCAAAAAGCACGGGTCCTAGAACGCCCCCTGTGGCCCCCCGCCGTAACAGGCCCCACGTGATACCTCTTCACGTCCATGACTCGTTTCTGCCTCCCCCTCAGGTATTTCCTTTTCCATTGCAGTGCCCTTCCCCTTTACGTGTGCCGATCCCCCTTTTGCACTAACCTTTGGGGAACTGGTCCCAAGGCCTTTCCCGCAGTCTAGGAAAACGCAATCTCCCAACCCTCCTCTCGTTCTTACTCTGTTACCTTGTCATAAAACTCCCGGAGGTTTGTGAACAAAAATTTTCCCCTTCCATGAACCCCTGCTGGTTTTCATTTTTAATCTTGTTTCCCTTTTCCCGGTGTTCGACCACTTTCCCCTGATAACTTCTCCATACTTTGCCACAATACATTAGAGACACAGGCTGTAGTTTTTGTGCCTCGTTTTTTTGTTTCCTTTCTTAATATGTGGGCTACATTAGCTTCTTCCTTTCTCAGGTAGTTGCCCAGTTTCAAGGGATTGGGGTTTAAGTTGGGTTTAGACACACACGCATCTCTGCTCCTTTTCTAAGGACCCATGGGGGGGGTGTTTTTTTCCGGGCCCCTCGCCTTTTAGGTGTCAAGGCACTTAAGAGCTTTTCACCTCCTCCTCAGTTTTTCGTAGTCATCCAACACTTTTGGATATTTCCCCTTGATGTTCCCTTTTGTGCTGTCTTCCCCCAAACCCTTCCTTCCTACTGTAAAAACTTCCCTTTAAAACTCCCGTTCACTCCTCACAAAACCCCCTGATTTTCTTTGATTTTTCCACCTTTTGTCCTTAATGATCACCGGCTTTGACTTTTGTCTTTCCCCCTGATGTGGCTATACAACATTCGGGTCAGTCTTTATTCTCGATGCTATGTCATTTCATACTGTCGCTGGCCTCCCTCCCTTCCTTTTCGTACTCATTCCTGGCTCTGCGACTACTCCTTTTTTCGTGTGCTCTGCCTTTTGTACTTTTTTCATTCTCTATTGCACTTTTGTTTTTTGCCTCCTTACACCGTCGGGGAAACCAGGGGCTGTTCTGGTCTTTCCCCGTTTTACTGTTGCCCTTGGGAATAACCTTTTCCACTGCCTCCTTCATTTTGTTGCTAAATTTTCCCTCATTTCATTTACTGGGTTTCCCCCATTCCTTTTCCCACGGACCTCCCGCGGAATTCTTTAACCCTATGTATCCCCCCCCCTTTTATAGCAAGACTTTTTCCCCTTCTACTCCTGTATTCTCTCCACTTGCAGCCTACTAGTGTGTGTTTTGTGTGTGTGACTCACCTAGTTTACCACCTAGTTGAGGTTGCGGGGGCGATCCGAGCTCCTGGCCCCGCCTCTTCACTGATCCTACTAGGTCACTCTCCCCGAGCCGGAGCTTTATCATACCTGTTAAAACTATGTTGATCCCTCCTCCACTACATCGCTTCCCAAACTATTCCCTTACTGCTACTCTGGTGGTTTT